TGATTTTTTGTTTAGAGGATTTATCCAGTGGTGTCAGTGGGGTATTAAAGTCCCCTACTATGACTGTATTGCTATTGAGCTCTCCCTTGATATCTTCCAGAAGTTGTTTTATGTATTTTGGTGCTCCTGTATTGGGTGCATATATCTTTACCAGAGTTATATCTTCTTGTTGAATTGCTCCCTTTAGTATTATGTAGTGGCCTTCCTTATCTCATGTTATGGCCTTTACTTTGAGGTCTATTTTGTCAGATATAAGTATCACAACCCCAGCTTTTTTCTCATTTCCATTTTCCTGAAAAACTTTTTTCTATCCCTTCACCTTCAGTCTGTGTGAATCCTTTGTTTTGAGGTGAGTCTCTTGTAGACAACAAATATATGGGTCATGTTTTCTTATCCATTCAGCTACCCTATGTCTTTTGATTGGAGCATTTAATCCATTTGCATTTAATGTTATTATTGATAACTACTTGTTTGTCATCATTTTTATTCTTAATGTTTGTGTTTCTTTTTGCCTTTCTGTTTCTTCTTTTTACGGAAGTCCCTTTAGCATTTCTTGCATTGCTGGCTTTGTGGTAATAAACTCTCTTAGCCCTGTTTTGTCTGTGAAGCTCCTGATTCCACCTTCAATTTTGAATGATAGCTTTGCTGGGTATAGTATTCTTGGATTCAGTCTCTTGCTTTGAATCACTTTGTATATTTCATTCCATTCCCTTCTGGCCTGGTGTGTTTCTGTTGATGAATCAGTTGATATTCTAATAGGAGATCCCTTGTAGGTAAATTTCTGTCTCTCTCTGGCAGCCTTTAAGATTCTTACTTTGTCGTTGGTGTTTGCCAATTTAATTATGATGTGTCTTGGTTTCAGTCTTTTAGGGTTCTTATTGTTTGGGACTCTATGTGCTTCTTGGACTTGTGTAGTTTTTTTCTTGCCATTATTTCTTTAAATAAACCTGTTTATTTCTTTAAACAGGTTTTCTATTCCTTGCTTCTCTTCCTCTCCTGGTACCCCTATTATGTGAATGTTGTTTCGTTTTGTGTTGTCCCAAAGCTCCCTTAGGCTCTCCTTTTGCTTTTTAAATCTTCTTTTCAGTTGATGCTGTGTTTGTGTGTTTTTTCTACCTTGTCTTCTAATTCGCTGATGTGGTCCTCAGCCTCTTCTAGTTTACTGTTTAAGCCTTCCATTGTGTTCTTTATTGCAGTTATGTCATTCTTCATTTCCTATTGGTTCCTTTTCATGTTGGTGACATTCTCTTTCAGCTCCTTATAATTCTCATTGAGTTGTGTGTATTTGTCATTGAGTTGTGTGTATTTGTCATCCAGCCATTTGAGCATCCTTATAACCATTACTCTGAATTCTTTCTCTGACATGTTACTAGCCTCCAGTTCATTTAACTCCTTTCTGGTGATTTGTCTTTTTCTTTCCTTTGGGGATTGCTTTTTTGTCTTCCCATGTTTTACTGTAACGTTTTAATTGTAGATCCAATTCCTTTGCTACTCTGGTTCTTTTGGGGATGGTGCTACCAGTGTGATCTCTAAGGGCACCTGGGCTTGGTAATCTAGCGTAGCTCCTTACTTGAGCTATTTGGGTTCTCTTGATGTAGGCCTGTGAGCTGGAAAGGCACTACTGTCGTGTCTAGAAGTCAGCAGCCATGGAGGGGGGGTGCCCCAATTTTTGCTGTCTTGTGCCCTTGATTGAAATCACACGTGCCCAGTGGGGCTCACAGTGGCACCCAGGAGCCATCTGTTTGGGTGGTGGGGCTCAGAAGGCCTGCACTCTAGAAAGGCGTAACTGTGGTATCCAGAGTTATGTAGTTGTGAGCAGACTCAGCTTTTGCTGCTGCCTCCGTGGTTGGATATGCCTGCCCCCAGTGGCGGCTCACAGGGACACCTGTGGTGCATTTGCCAGCAGGGTGTACTGACGCACTCTGAAGGGCCCTGGCACTGAAGCCAGGCACTTGCAGTGTCTGTGGGCAGGTATCCCAGATGAGAGAATTCAGAGTTTCTACAGCCCAGCACTGCAACCCTGTTTTTATAAGTGCATGCCCATCGGGGGCTCACAGTGGCGCCCAAGGGCTGCCTGTGGAGTGGTGTGCTTGGGAGGCCTGTGCACTGAAAAAGCGTGTGACTGTAGTGTCCAGAGTTCTGCATCTGTGGGGTGGGAAAACTCAGTTTTTGTTGCTGCACCTGTGGTGGTGGCTCACAGGGGCACCCACGGTGTGTTTGCCAGCACAGCACACTGAAGCACTCTGATGATCCCTGGCACTGAAACCGTGCAATTGAGGTGTCTGTGGGCAGGTATCCAGGATAAGTGAATTCAGAATTTCAACTGCCAGGTGAGTGCATTCCTGTTTGTCCAAGATCACACCCAGTGGGGGCTCACAGCTGCTCCCAAGAGTGCCCTGTGGGTCGATGGCTCAGGGGGCCTGCTCACTTGAAATGTGCGACTGTGGCAGTGCATTTGCCAGCGCAGAGCTCTGATGCACTCTGAGGGGCCCTGGTGCTGAAGTTGCGCAGCTGGGGTGTCTGTGGGCAGTTATTCAGGAAGAGGGAATTCAGAATTTCTACTGCGGGGCAGCTCACCCTTGTCTGTACAAAATCACACCCAGCAGGGGCTCACAGTGGCTCCCAAGAGCTGCCTATGGAGTGGTGTGCCCAGGAGGCCTGTGTACTGGAGACACGTGTCTGTGGTATCCAGAGGTCTGTGGCTGGGGAAGGGGGAAGTTGCACTTACTGCTGCAGGAGTGGTGCACCCTTAGAGGTGGAGGTCCTAGGGTCCGTGGGTGTGCAGGTGGGGCAGCAGGATTTTGGCTGGAGTGCCTGCTGGGTCGTGGGCAGTGTCCAAGGCCTGTCTGGGTGGTGGTGCTGATGCGTTCCTAGAAGTGGCCATTCTCCCCTTCAAGATGGTGTGGGTTCCATGCCCGAGTCCCGCAGTCCGGGGAGTGCCCGCAGTGGTGGTAGTCTCTCTCTGTCCAAAAGGGCCTGGTCTGCCAGCCCCTGCTGCTCCTGCTGGATTTAACTCTCCCTCACTCACTCACACACACACCACACACACCCACACACTCTCCTTTCATCCCCTTACTCACACACTTCCTCTCCCTCATTTCTGTCCTGCCAGCCGCCATCTTTTTTGAGTCTTGCTTTGAATATCTCTTGCCAATCCCTCCTGGCCTGCAAAGTTTCTTTTGCGAAATCATCTGAATGTCTTATGGAAGCTCCCTTGTAGGTAACTTACTACTTTTCTTTTGCTGCTTTTAAGATACTCTCTTTGTCTTTAACCTTTTGCATTTTAATTGAAATGTGTCTTGGTGTGGGCCTCTTTAGGTTCATCTTGTTTGGGATTCTGTACAAAATAGAAACAAAAACCACATTCCTTTCTGATTTTCTCTGTTCTAAGCCAAGTATTTATAGTTATTTTCTTTGCAATATATGTCTTAGAATTACTCAACAATCTTGTCATTTTCCTCTAGGAATGTTATGAATCAGCAAATGAAACTTTTCTTTATATAGCTTGATATAGGAAATTATTCTATATAATAAAAGCCAAATATGCTAAGTTTCCAGTCATTCAGTCATCTGTTCAACCAATCAAAGTGTAATATGCTAATGATATGCTAAGGCCACTCAACCGCTCACTATGACATGCACTGATCACCAGGGGGCAGACGCTCCAACCAGTAGGTTAGCTTGCTGCTGGGGTCTGAGCCAATTGGGACTGAGCAAGATGGGCCAGACATATCCTGGAGGCCTCCCGTGGTCCCTCCCTGGATGGCCAACCTCCTGCGTCCCTCTCTGGCCCCAACTGTGCACTGGTGGGGTCCTTCAGCCTGGCCTGTGCCTTCTCACAATCCGGGACCCCTCAGGGTATGTCAGAGAGCCGGTTTTGGCCCGATCCCACAGGCCAGGCCGAAGGACCCCACTGGTGCACAAATTCATGCACTGGATCTCTAGTAGTTTAATAAGAAGTGTTTTCCAGCCTTGAAATGATATTTCTCACATTTCAGTAAGCTCCTTAGAAAATAATATTGAAGTAAAGATTGTCTGAATAGCAGGGATGCTGTGGAGAAGAGCCTTGCATTATAACTTAAGGCTTTTACATTTATAAAATTCTTGGCTTCCAGGACACTTTTGTTGTCTGAACTAACACAGAGTTTCCCAACACTAGTATTTTGTTGGTCCCATAAACTTTAGGCCCTTAAGTATTTACAGATTATAGTGACCAGGGCCCTACTCTTTCTAGATCTTATTTCCAGTCTGATTACATGCTGCACAAAATGGGGAGAAGTAAGAAGAGGTCATTCTTCCTAACCCTGCTCTGTCCCTAGCCTAAATGCCTGAGCTCTGACAGAGGTTGAATAACTCTAAGTAGACATAGCATTGAGACCTTTAAAAATTTTCCCTGTATCCAGGGATACATTGTTGTTATTCCACTGTATCCCTAAATTCCTCCTTCTTAATTCTCTCTTTGACTCTTTTTCAGATATACAAAAAAACTGGCACATTTTTTTTAAAATTGTGTTTGAGTGTTTACCATTCCTGATGCATGCTAGCATCTTTCCTGTCTATTGGCAACTGCGGGATAAAGGTAAGTGAAACTAGAAAAGTGAGATTTTTTTAGGTCATCTTTTCTTTGGCTGGTACCCTCTTCACTAGGAGGTATTTTCATAAAGCTGAGTGACCTTTAAAGCAACAACAGGAAGAGGAATCTGAGTTCAGGTGACATCTAAAAGTCTGCAGATTCTGTTCCCTGAACTGTTAGAGGCCCAGAGTTTTAGGCTGTACTGATAGTGTATGTCTGCCACTACTCATGGTGATAGTTGCTTGTGCACCAAGGGAAAAGATACATTCCTTCAGATCTTATAGACATTTTATTCAAAATTATGAAGTCCAGACACTCATTTACAAAACACAATTACTGATGTCACCTATAGGTTGGCTTTAAACCCATGATTCAAAACATTTTTGAGTTATGGATCTTTGAAAAATTAATGAAAAAAATCTAAAATCATAATTTTACTTATTTTATTTCCTATTCAGTTTCAAAACTATTGAAAGCTATCATTTTGCCTATATACTTAGATGCTATTTAGAACTGTAATTATAGTATATTCATGTACCTTATTATGATAGTATCTGAGAATTAGCAATATCTTTCATTCACTTGCAGTTGCTGGGAATTATTTACATAAGACAATGACAAGGTAAACAAAAGGATCACTTTATTATTTGGGAGGGATTTTTCAAATCTATTACTGAACTGGCACCAAACAAAACTCATTACATATATTTGAATCTCAAGTTACAAACCCAACCCTCAAATCTTAACAAACAAATGAGCCAAGAAGACAACCCAATCAAAGTTAACTAGAAAGTAGTAATATGTAAGAATGTATAAGATGGCATTCTTTTTCCAACAGTATGGGGAAATCTGACTACCCTAAACAACTCTCTGATAACAATATATGTGCTGCAACATCTATCTATCTATCTATCTATCTATCTATCTATCTATCTATCATCTATTAAAAATCTATATTTATCTACCAACGATTATTTGGAATATTTAACAAATAATATTCTCAACCTGAAAATCTCTATTTACCTTTAAAGATACAGATTTCATGCCATCTCTTCTGAGAAGCTGCCGGGAGCCGATCCATCCTTGCTGTTTCAAGGGACCTGGCATATATGGCATACTGTTCTTAATATGTTTGCTCACCTTCTTGGCGCTATGTGTTTTAACCAAGGTCACCTCTCCAGAAAGGTTGTTTCCCCAGGTAGGGATTTTTCCCTGAAGTTAGGGAGGG